TACTAAATTATCATCAAAGTCAAAACTGCAGGCGCAGCCGAGCTCACCGACCGATTACAATGGTGGCCAGCACAACAAGAAGGATTAAAGTGCTGTTTGCTGTTTTGAAGCAACCCTGCAAGTAGAAGAAAGACTAATTAAGGTGCCATTTCCATAGAAAAGACATAAAGCCAACCAGGCAAACAGACGGCAGTGCACTGGGTCGAAAAGTGCCTGCCAAACTAGGCCAAACACTAGTGCCCACTACTGTCACAGGCAGTGCTCTTCACTTTCACTGAACAGCAAGTCACTCAGACGTGAACAGATCGAATTACCGAGGTACCACAGTGATCCTAAAACGAAGAAACAGCTTCGCTCAACCTAAATGGAGAGTTAGAGAGCGAGAGAACCAAGTTTGCTTTTGTTGTTAACCGTACTAAGCAGCAAGGTCTCACTGTCTGTCAAAGTGTGCTCTACAAAGTTAGCACTGCTCGGAAAGAAAGTAGAAAAGAGTAAAAGAGCCCAACGGGAGAAAGTAAGCGAAAGCAGTGAAGGGTCGTTCCCTGGAGTGAATTGCATTCTTTTTCATATTTTCCCTCTCACCACCAGTCGTCTTCACTTTGAAGCAGCCACAATTGAGCCAATTAGAAGAAACTTTATCAACTTTTGGTGAATGGCCATAAAGCACACAAAAAAACGATTTAAAATAGACTCATGCTCATCAGTCGTTCGGACCGGCGCTCATTATTCAGGAAGGTTGTGCGCTTTTTACTGCAACACTCTCGCCAGGGCTAGCAAATGGACAGATGACTGACTGAAAGCGACTCTTAACACTCACCCAAGAGCTGCAGAGTTGCCTGAATTTTGCGGTGAACTATGATCAAGATAATGTGCTAAATTAATTATGTAACATAACAGCAAACAGAGTGACAGCGTTTTGCTGAACAACCGAAAGAGCGGGCGCGTCAAGAATGCCTAAACAATTAACACGACAAAAACAGGATTCGATGGTGGTAAAATTATGGGGTAATACGTGAATGCAAGAAGGAAACCTTATGTAAGGTGCTATGTGGGCGCATTGCTTGTTCACCAGTTTTCCCCTATTCAGCACCCTTTTCACTGATCGATAAAATGAATGATAAATACTCTGGTAATTGGCTTTTACTTGTTGTATTTCTTGTTATTAAAAACTTGATCAAAAATGCTAAAGAGCACTACTAATCGATTAATCTAATTAAAACCTAATCAGAAAGTTTAGACAACAATGGCCGCCTTCTCTGAAACGAGGCCAAGTCGTATACCAAAAAACCAAATGAGAAGCTTCCTTAGAAAATGATGGTGTTTCAATTGCAAAATCGATATGAAATGGAAAGCGCAATATTAAGTAGAGTTAACAGTTTATTGTCACACTCTCTATATACAGCTTGTGATGCGTCACAATTGTTTGCAGTCGTCACAAGACAAATCAAAGCAAGTATCGAATATCGGTCGTTTGACAATGCCAAACTGTGCTGAATTTAAAAGCATTGAATCGATCGATATGTCTATGATGAATTTAATTGCCATAGCATTNACAGTTTATTGTCACACTCTCTATATACAGCTTGTGATGCGTCACAATTGTTTGCAGTCGTCACAAGACAAATCAAAGCAAGTATCGAATATCGGTCGTTTGACAATGCCAAACTGTGCTGAATTTAAAAGCATTGAATCGATCGATATGTCTATGATGAATTTAATTGCCATAGCATTTGCATACCCAGAAGGCAACGCCACAAAAAATGCTGAAATGAAGATGGGTTAAAGACAGCGCCTGCTATTTGAGTCAGAGAGAAAGAGGGCAAAGTCTCATGAAGACGACTATTAGGCGCCATGGAGCATTATTGGAAAACATTCACAGAAAGGCTAAGCAGTGCTCTGTCTGCAGGGCAGTGGGCGATTCAGTTCGATTGATTGCAAAACTCGGGCAAGTTTAACTGAGGCTCAGTTGGCTGTGGGACTTTGCCACATGTGCCACTAGAGGCTGCCTGGAGATTCACAGTGGGAAATCACAGTAGCATCGTACTGAAACTCTCACACACACGCACATCGAGATCAAGACACTCACTGGTGGCGCGATCCGCCATTCAAATACAAGTGTAGATTAGAAAAAGTATAAAACGATTTGAAAAAGAGAAAATGGCAACGTTTTAGAAAGAAAAAGAAGAACTGTCCCTAGTAAATATTGATTTGCTGTTCTCGTGAACTGCTGCACCGCTTCATTCAGTGTATGTCTGTCCAATGTCTTGGGATGATCTGGCCACTTTTGTTCAGTCTGCGGCCTTTGGTAAAAAAGCCATTTGAAGTCAGTTAAAATGACTGCGACAAATTGCAGAATATAGGATTTGCGAGCAGGCAAAAGTAAAAGATGGAGAGAAAGATGGTTTTCCAGTTGGCCAATTGGCTGCCATCTCTGGCCAAATAGGTTTTACTGTGAGTTGCAGTAAACAAGTAAGGGAAAAGTGGGCCAATTTGATTTAAGAGAAATGGGAGAAACCTCATAAATGTGCAAGAGGAAGTAAAATATATTAAAGATGCCTTCAGAATGGCCAAATTGGGCAAATCAGAATGCGAGACGCGTTGTTCAATTCGAGATGAGCTGCGCGACCACTGTGGCCACTGCGATGCGGCTACCACTGGCGCACACACACCAGCTTGTTGACTTGTTTGCAGTTGAATTCAATTAAAAGCTGCAAATAAATTATCGTGCATTCACTTGCACAGTCAAATAGTGGGTTGCCCGCCAGAAGAAAATTACCGACACTGAATGTCGCCCCAAGAGTGATGGCACTTTTTTCATTGTTTGCAGACGGCAAACACAGAGCCTCGGCGCTCGGTGTAATCGAAGATGAGCTGCTACGAATGCTTTCGAGCATCTGGGTTGATTTGCACTCGACAACAGACAGTGCCTGCAAATAGTGGAGGCAAATGAAAACGATGGACCCAATGGAACGGTTCGCTGAGCGCTAATTGATTTACATCTAAAGCATGTACATAAAACAATGTTTATAAGCAAATGCTGATCAAGGATCATGCTCATTTAATAGCACTACTCGATTTCCAATCAAATTGTAAAACGATTATGGCACTTGGCAAATGCGCCATTTCCGTCAGTTCGATAGATGCCCAGCTGAATGAAGATGCAAGTCTGAAAGGGAACAAATATATATTTACTTTACTGCCATTGACCAAGTGACATTTCTTAGAAAAAACTAAAGTAAGGATAACAAGAAGAAGAAAATGAGACTCCTAGACGGAGAATATATTGGCAAAGGCATTTGAATGAGCACTGAAAAATGGAAATGAAATACAAAACAGGCAGTTGACAATGCCTCTCAAAAATGACAATTGACTATGACAGACACACAGCACTAGAGCAAGTTCAACACTTGCGAATTCCTCTGTGACACTCTAAGTGGGTAAGGAAAATGCACTTGAAGGAGAAACCAAATGAAATTAAATCTATGCTACTTTAGTTTTGAGGAGAGAGATAGAGAAAGTGATTGTAAAGAATGAAATAATAAAAATTCTTTACAACATTTTTGAAACTTTCAGTTCTACGTAATATGATTAGTGCCCTGACGATGAATATTACTGTGAAGTGGTTATTTCAAAACATTCGCCCGGCACTACTCAAAGGGGAGCTCATTTAGTGCAGGTAGTGGATGAGCAGCAAAACGATGCAGCGCTGCAACTGCCAAAGAGAAGAGAGAGAGAGGACAACTTGCCAAACTGTGATGAGCAATCTGAAGCTAGAGAGGAAAGCAATTCTGTGATCCTGCGGTCTGAACAGCTGTGGCCTTCAGTGCCTTCTGTCCACTTGTTGTTGTTGTTGTTGATTACTGTCACATTGACTCTCACTCTTTTTTCATCCTGATAATCGAGCATCTGTCCACTCTGGTGACGTGTCGCCCATTTGTTGGCTGTTGCTTGATAGTGAGAGATTCTCGGAAACCAATTTTGCCAACAATTTATTATCAACTTCATCAACACATAGACTGGAAAAGAACAAACATCCAGCTTTTTGGCATAATACATCAATCAATTCTTACCATGTAGCAGATGTTAGCACCCGTTTCATGTTTCATCATTTTTCAACATCAAACAAATGAACAACTGATATCTGTGATTTGTCCAAGTGCCTTCAACACGGTGGTCGATTGTGCACCATTATTTGTACCTATAAAATTATACATAACAAAGAAACTGGTTGATGTCGATAAGATGCCAACAAATGAACGCCAGGTTAGCAACTTGATCAATCTTTATTATGTATAACATAAACTAACTTACAAGTGCATCCTTATCTAATCACTTGATGTGCNATCATTTTTCAACATCAAACAAATGAACAACTGATATCTGTGATTTGTCCCAGTGCCTTCAACACGGTGGTCGATTGTGCACCATTATTTGCACCTATAAAATTATACATAACAAAGAAACTGGTTGATGTCGATAAGATGCCAACAAATGAACGCCAGGTTAGCAACTTGATCAATCTTTATTATGTATAACATAAACTAACTTACAAGTGCATCCTTATCTAATCACTTGATGTGCTTGTCAAACTGCCATAAAGTTATGATTCACTTTGGTACTTTATGAGAGGATTATGCAATTCGTTTAAAAATAAAACGCTACTGACAACTAAAGGATAATATTCGTATACTCTAATGCACCGGAATAGAGCGAAAACTAAAGAATATTGGAGGTTTTTCACACTTTTAATATTATTCTGTTTTTTTCTGATATGCGAGTCTGCCCTCTGTTGAGTCAGCAGCTGATATTGCTCGCTGGTTTGTTTTCACCAGATCAAATGATTCGCGTGAAATGCACTTTCATACCGAAAGCAATCGCTGCCTTCTCTTCTGTGTCACATTGACGAGCTTAGACGGTGGTCCACTCTTTCTCCATAGTTTCTGATTTTTATGATATTCTGTTTGTAGAAACCTTTATATACCTCTCACCCGTTGGAAGAGATGAGCTCTTCTGAAAACAATCCCGCAACTTCCTCATCTCGAGAAGACGACACTAAACACAGCGAAAGTAAATTTGTTTTTTAGACCTGAACTTCCCTTGCTAACTTTTCTCTTTTCACCAGATGAACAATTGAGAAGAGGTCACCCACAGGTCACTAAATATGGCCTCATTGACAATGAAGATCCAGATCCGCAAACGGCGCGAAACATCAATCTTGGTCTGGCAGACAATGAGGTGCTCACGACGGGTCAATCACTTGAGCCTTATCTGCAGTCATATGTTACCATTCCGCCAACAAGTGATGTTAGTATCTTTTCATTGATCAGTACTTTCTGTTACTAAAATGATCTTTATTATAACTACAGCACTCGTTCAGTTGGCACCGATTATGGGCATTCACTGGCCCTGGGTTTCTCATGTCAATCGCATACCTTGATCCCGGCAACATTGAGTCTGATCTGCAAGCAGGCGCCCAGACCGAGTATAAGCTGCTCTGGGTATTGATGTGGGCAACTATCCTCGGTTTGTTGATGCAAAGGTTAGCCGCAAGACTTGGCGTAGTCACTGGACTTCACTTGGCCGAACTGTGCTATCGTCGTTACCCACCCGTTTGTCGCATTCTTCTTTGGATCATGGTGGAAATCGCCATCATCGGCTCCGATATGCAAGAGGTGATTGGCACTGCGATCTCCATTTACCTCCTTTCAAATGGAAGAATCCCAATTTATGTTGGAGTTCTAATCACCATAATCGACACGTTTACATTCTTGTTTTTGGACAAGTACGGCTTGAGGAAATTGGAAGCATTCTTTGGATTTTTAATGTAATTTCAGCATTTTACTTAACTGCTCAAAACTAATCAAAACTAAATCAAANCTTTGGATTTTTAATGTAATTTCAGCATTTTACTTAACTGCTCAAAACTAATCAAAATGGTTTTCTTTACAGATCTTTAATGGCAGCTACCTTTGGCTATCAGTATTATATAATGAAGCCAAATGAGATGCAAGTGATTGAAGGCCTGATTATTCCGACTTGTACAAACTGCAACCTTGATCAGTGGTTTAAATCCATTAGTATTATCGGAAGTAATTATAAACAAATCCTGTTTTGAATTTATTTTTATTAAACGTTTTTCTTTTTCTTTTAGGTGTGGTATGTTTAAATACTTTAACTTGTTGTCCTCTGCAAAATAGGTTTATTTCATTGTGTTTTACTTGTTCAGATAATGCCGCATAATGTTTTCCTTCATTCTGCCCTGGTCAAGTCCCGGCGTATTGATCGCGATAAAAAAGAAGAGGTAAAAGACGCCAATCGCTACGTTTTCATTGAATCGGCCATAGCACTAGGCGCCTCGCTGCTAATTAACATTGCTGTCACTGCTGTGTTTGCTCAAGGACTCTTTCAGAAGAGTAATCATGACATTTATCAACTCTGCAAAAACAACACATTTGCGGAAAATGTATTTCCTGACAAAAACACACCTGTTGATATCAATTTGCATAAGTATGAAGAATCGGTTGTTTTTAAACATCTGTAATCTAATGCACATTGATTTATTTTGAATAGAGCTGGCATCTATCTTGGCTGTGC